GGCCCGGCGATGGGGCTGAGCGCCACTGATGCTTTGGCTTAGGCCAGCGCCCCCGCGAACCAATGCAAAAAGCGCCGAGCTTGGACAATGGGTTAAATCAACTATATAACATACTATGTACTATATTATGTAAATAACGAATGAGTATCAATAAACAATGTACTTTTCAATATATAAATCAAATATTAATGTGTGAATACTTTGAGGGATTCCGGGCGCGTTAACAGCGAATAACGTTAATCCTTTAAGTGTGGTGCTTGTTCAACTTGTGCGGTGACTGAGGTAAGTGCGGTAAGTGGCGGGATCTTCTCCAGAGTGATGGCGAGATTCTGCGCACACCTACGGCTAGTCGACCTGTCAGCTGGCAAGGTTTTCCCCAACCAGATATCTCCCGCCAGCGGGGCAGCACCCCAGTTGGAACAAGCTCTAATCATTTCGCGTATGGTCTCCCCAATGAGTGCTAGTGTAGTGCATGCAAGTGAAGGTACGGAGAAGTGAGGGGCGAGGAGAGAACAAAGAGGAAAAATCGCGCGCAGTCCGGGGCCCGGATGTCAGGGTACTGTTTTGGAATTCGCCTGGTGTTGATCGGAGAAATAACGGAAAAATACCCTTCAAAGCAGCCAGCCGCTGGAATTCTCCTCCAGCCAGCGGCTTCATTCGTCGCAGATCTCTAGCCTGTTTAGAAACTCCTGTCGCACGCCGACGGGACGTTAACCCTACAACCTCCCGGTCCAGGCACTGGTGACATCAGTTGATGCCCTGAGCCACGGAAGCCGGTCAGATACTTCGAGATCGCGTCGCGAACCAAAAAAAAGTGTCATGCTGGGAGTGTGAATGGGTTACATGAACGTTTATGCACTATATAATGTAAATAAAAGAAGAAAGTGTGAATAGAAAAATAAGCATCATGAAAATAATTAAAAATGAATCATTAAAAAAATTCAAATAAATGGCCACTTATACAAAACATTTATAACAAATGAAATTCGCCAAACAGCATATCGCTGTATCTACATCTTTAGATTATAGAGAGTATTAAACTACTTTTAGTAAGTAATTTAAATAAATCCCCCTCATAATAGGATCGGTGACTTTAAGGGAAACACGTACCTTTTTTTTCGTAAAAAGAGTTGAGATACTGATTTTCTTTGCTATAGATCAGTTTACAAATGAGACTTGTCCATATTAAAGTATGTATTCTATTGCAAACTACAAATTATAATAACTGGAAAAGCGAAAGAAGTCCTGGGACTAGTTTCTGATTCTCACGCAGATGAACTAGTATTATCAGCTAAGAAACTCCTAAATGCTTCACGACAACCGTAACAAACACCGAAGACATCAGAGACTTCAAAATCCGGTGGTCGAACTATTCTAAGATGACAACCAAGTTTGTTGCTCGTCCTCAGTTTGAGGCAGGTGTGACTCTTCCCAAGTAAAGCAGCTAACGTATCATAGAGAATATTTACGTTATCTCGTGGCACATGAGTACATATATTGATGGGCTTATCAAGTACTCATTCATGTTGGCAAAAGGAATGGTACGTCCATATTTGCCTTTCAAGGACGTTTATGTCTCAGCTGTTCTTCCAATCAAAGGAAAGAAAATAACCGATGTTCAAAAACTGTAAGATACATCTCATGAATATCCCCATTACTACCAGAACATTTTGACACAGCCATGAATGAGTAACTAGAGCCAAGTAGAAATCGATGATCAGTAGATGCTAATGTTAATTTAATAAGAGAATTTAGTAAAAATATGTCCATAGAACGCAATATGTGAATTCACGTCATTGTATTATTTATTCTTTGATCATATTATTTCATAAGTACAAAAATAAAAGTATTGTTTTTTTATATTTAATGATTTGTTATAAAGAAAATAGGTCCCTGGTATAAAAACGGTTCTGTTCATCACAGAAATGCATATTTGCATTCACAAAGTAGCGCAAACAATCAATAATAACTAGTTCTTGAACCTTTGTGCTTTATAATTACAACATAAATGTCCCAGATGCCAACAGTGGACATTATTACGTTTTTTCTCAGAACAGGGACTTATTTCCCTTTTCAAATCACCGATTCAATTACTACAGCTGCAAGGCTGCACTTTATAATTTGCGACCCATCAAAATAAAAAATAAACTCCCAGACCACATGGCGCTGTGGAGGGGAGTCCTACTACCTCTGCCTGGTGCAGGGCTGTCAACGGTCGAGGGGTCGAAACGTTCATGTTTAGAAAGTCCTGAAGGCTTGTTCCTTCCCTTACAAAAGAGATTTGTCACGTTCTTGGCTTTTTACGACGAATGAGTTAGTTGCTCCCTAGGGCAGATCTGTCCAAAACTATCCTAGGGTCTCCGCCCTGGGCAGCCACTGGCCCAATTGGCACTTGCAATTAGTACAGAGAAAACTCAAGCTCCGTCTCTGTCCGACCGGATAAAGAATATTAATCTTACCAATTCTCAAGATGAAGATTACTAAACGTACATCATATTTGCTAATTACTTTATAACAGAGAATGTGCTTAATCTATATGATGTCAAGAAAGACTTTCTCGTTTTTCTGTTGACTTCGTTTGCAGAATTTTCAGTTCAATCTCGTTCAGTTTGTCGTCGGGAAGTCACAAAGGTCTCCTATATCGCAAACGAAATTGCTGTGATCGACCTCTCCCAGAAGGGGAAGGAGGCGATAAGTAGGGGAGGAGAAGGGGGATGGGATGGGATGGGATGGGATGAAGTCATCCTGGCAACTCCCCGGGTATTTTCTGGGCTAAGATGCAGTGAATTCAGCTCCCTGGCCAGTCCACCCGTAACGTACGTCACAGTTGCTATCGAACCTAAATGCAAAGTTGCTGAATACGTGAGCATTTGTTGGCAAAGTGTCTACGAAATAGTATAATACAGATTGGGACGTCATTAGGCAGGTAAAGGAACACATCCTGGACAAATATATTACAAGGATAAGAAATATTATTTCATTTCACAGTAATTTACGTGTTATAAAAACACAAGTATGGAAAATAAATATAGAAATGTACTTATTAGGAAAAAGTACAAAATTATCTCGACACGTCCTTATAAATTTAAAAAATTGCATTAAACCTTTGGAAACTAAGCAAAAATTTAAAATGCGGTCGAAAAAAAATAAAAATTCAATAATTATTATTCGAATACTCAATACTGCCATTTACATCCAAATAAACGTGCTAAAATTCTGGCAAGGTGTCATGGAAACAGATCAACAGACGTTCTAACGTTTCAGGCGGAAGTTTCAAAATTTCTCAGGTAAATCTAAAATTTCTTGTACTTTTACCCAAATGGCGGTCGCGTGTGGAATTGCGCCAAAAGGCATCACCGTCACTCCTCCGATTAGCATTGCGCACAATAGCTACTCTTTTCCTCCGTGCCACAAATACGGATTCGAATGGCCGCCGATAGCTGGCAACCCAGTCTGCATGTAAGTATCAACACGACTGCACCGGCCACCACTGTGGGAAAGCCTATCGATTTAAATTGTTCATCAACAAATGCGAATCTTTCTACTTTGTGACGCGCGAATGAGCGAGATACGATCAAACCTTCTCAGTACTTGGGCTGTTGTTGTTTCTATTTATCGCATACTATACTATCAGAAACGAAAATGATGCTTATTTTAGTAACGATTTAAAGTTAGTAGTTAACGTTTGTATTTTAAAATTCTAAATGACTTAAATATGATGCCACAAGTGTTGTACTTCGCCTTCTGGGTCACTGTCTTCATGTCGATCAGATTTTTCGTTCTCTTTTCTTCGATACATTAATCGACTACGCATCAGGTCCCTTGTTTTGCTTCTGGATACACTATGTCGCTACATAAAGCGTCTTTTGCCAGTTGCGGTAGGAGAAGGACCCTCGGTATGTGTTATTTGGTAAGCGATAATGTAAAGTGAAGTTTATAGTTCGTTTGCCGATGCAAATATGTCTAGATTTCATATGTTGCAATCCACGCTGATTGGTAGGATTACTTTTTTAAACGAATATTAACAGTCTATTTCAAAGGTGAAATAATAAATACTATAAAGAATCATAAAATTTATAGAAAGAAATACAAGTAAGAAATTCATTGATACTTTCCTTGGTAATTTTCACAAATCTATAACAAAACTATTACACTTAACTCATTAGAATTTAACTCATTAGAACATTAATAAAATATTATTAATTATTATTGTTGAGGATTATGAGGATTAAGTATAGGATGAACAATATTAAAACAAAATAAGAGAATCTGTTTAAATAAGTGTTAATTATCGGGTCGATGGGGGAGCTGGTGGGCAGATATTATATTAAGACTACATTTCTTGTCTATTATCCAGTAGGTTTAGAGCTAGATGATTGGGATGCATTTCAAGGCGTTGCTGTTTCTTTGAACTCATTTATTGAATGTTGATGTAATAAGATTTCATTGTATTGCATCATTTGATATGAACCAAGGCACAGAAGAAGTGATTCTGAAAAGCTTTGACTGAAATCGTTCAAAATATACAAATCAGTTTTGATTATCATTCAACGATTATTTATAATTCCTCTATGCATAATAAACGAGCGGGAGTAGATATTCTTGAGCTCAAAAAATGTGCAGACATATTTCTTGCAGCATTTTGTCACATTCATTTATGTTACTGATTTTAGGCGCTAACTAATTTGAATTAATTTAAATTATCCCGCCCCGTTGCAGTTAGTGTGCTACATTCCCACCAGTAATAATCGGCATTCAAATCCCGGATGGTTGACAGGGAATTAGCGGTCTAAATTTTCGAGTTGTTAATAATAATAATAATAATAATAATAATAATAATAATAATAATAATAATAATAATAATAAAGATTTGTTTATTAATGGTGAGGATCAGCTCGGTTCTTCCGCCTGACGATAGTTACTCCTACTTGAATTCTTGGGATATGAATTAAAGTCGTGAATTAATTGCCAATATATTAAGAGGTAGAAGACTCGCTTACCAAAATCATGTGGTACTAACCAGAACTCGAGGTAGAGACTCCGTTCTCTGGCAGAAACAGAGCAGGTGGAAGTCTGCACTGGCACCTGAGGAATAAATGAAACCTATGATCAACACAAAATAAGAATACTAGCACAAGTGGTGAAATTGAAATAATCTCCAAATTCGTAGAATTTCCTAGATACATCATTAATGACAACTCATTTATTTCGATTTTTCTTAATCCAACATTTTAAGAGTGATATTGAATGTATTATGTGGTATTGAGTGATATTGAATAGTAGCATTTGTACCACTTGAATTCTAAACAACTTGCAACAAGTATTGAACTTTAGCTTCCGGGTCAATGACCCCACGCCTCGGTCAGATTTTTCGACCCTGATCATCCGAGCAAATGCTGAGATGACCCTTTCCTTTGCTTCTGGACATAAATTATATTTCACTACCTGTGCACTCCTTTTAGAGTTTTTGGAAGCAATATAGTTTTTCAAATTATCGTTCTCTATGTTGTAACAGCAGGTTTTCGTTTCCTTCACAAAGGATACGAAGAGGGATAAAAGAAAATATCTATAGCTGTTCGCCTTTGCAAATGGATTTTATTACACTGGAGCGAATTTTCCTGATCAAGTCTTCCTAGAAATGGTTATTTCCATCTGTATTCAGAATTCAACTTGAATATAATGAGTTAGAGTAATATGAGAATTTAAGAAAACGTGCACAGAATACTCATTTTCTCGTAGTACGTCACTCACAGTGTTTGGCGTTAAATACATGTAAATTTTTTAAAAACAGTTAACAAAAAAAAATCTCCAGACATAGGCCCTTAAGAGAGATTTTTCTCTAATTTGTTGCGTTAAGTCGATATTTTAAGAGCCCAGCATTGCGCCAAGACAGATAAGTGCGACGCAAGTCGGGTGGCGAGTGCGACGCGAGGCGAGGCCAACGCACGGGCGACGGCGCGGGGGAGACTCCTCGGGACGCGCAGCGCTGAGCGCGCACGCGCGTGCACGTGCGCAGGCTCGAGCCCGACCGTGTTCCCTCATGTGCCGCGGCCCCCGCCTCCCCCCGCGCCCTGCCCGCCCGCGCCCGCGCCCACGCCCTGCCACCCGTGAGTGCACTCAACACAACCTCTCGAACACACATGGAGAACACACGAGCAGCGCTTCCGCCACCCGACAGCGCATTCACAAACACAAGCACCCCCTCCTGCTCGTCCTCATGCCCACGCCCTGCCACCCGTGAGGGCATTCGACGCCCCCACCCCCACCCAGACCTGGAGTTTCGTTTTCTTCCTTATTTGCCCAGCATTGACTTAAAATATTTATCTTGTTAGTTATTGTAATTATTTTTTTAAAAAAATATATTGTATAATATCATATATACACTCCATCAAAATAATTTACAATCTAATTACAATTGTATTTATTATTTAATAAGAATCTAGATTGCACCTGGTCCCCCAAATTATATGTTGGATCCGCCTCTGCACACACGTACATAAACGAACACACTGCATCCACATACACAACACACACTTTATGCTCTAACATATACTACATGCACTAATTAATACTACATGCTACTAAGATATTATACATATTGACACATTTCATATAAGTTGGACCCAAATTGCAGACTTGGAGGTGACACAGCCGCCGTGTATATGCCCGCGACCGCAAACATCCCGAAATCGTGTGTCGAAAGGATGTGTGTAAAACGAGTCTATAACATACTTTATGCATTAACACTTATCTGCATTGTTGGAATTTTCTCTTTGGTAGATTCTCGCACTGCCCTAAAATCAACTGCTGCAAGTTGATTTTAATAATTTATTTTATTTGTGCCATTCTTTCATTAATTCCCTTAATCGATCTGTTAACGATAATCTCAATCAAGATTATATATATATATTGTATACAAATAGGAGTATATATGCCATTATATATAGTTGACATCGTTTGAACTTATCCAGAGATCTTTGAAACGAACTTTAAATGTTTTGAATTACCATTATAATAATAATAATAATCAACTTATCAATGTTTTGTAATCATTATTAATTATCTATGAGATAATCTTATAGCCAGTTCTGAGTTTTAACAATTATACAACAATAATTCATCACTTATCACCGTATCTATGAAACAGTAAATCAGATTCATCCGGGGCCAAGCATTTGGTACAACAAAATTTACAAGTAAAAAAATCGTAGAATAATCTAAATTTCCTCTTTCAAGCCATTGTTTCAAATAGGAAACTCCCACACAAACCCTTTGAGCTGTTGAATTTCCGAGCTGGCATATTTTGGTAAGTCACTTCGTAACAGTGTATGATACAAAAAGTGCCCTGTCCTGTTTATTTTCAAGTATTATAAGAATTGTGTAGTGGAATGCTGATGATTGGCGAGTTAAGTGCTTGCACGGAGGGAGCTAATCGATCCGTGTGAACTCGACGGCAGAATTTTCAATTACTTCCAATTTCAAAGTCGGTGTGGTATTTTGTGCCCAACGTCCGAAGACAACCGAATAATTACTACTAAATGCCGCTTTTCTCTCTCCCTCAAATGACGGACATTGCTATGGTTCTTAACATGAAATTAACTTCATTCTTTAGTAAAAAATTCAATGAATTGCAAATTACTTTTTCTGGCAAAGAACCTAGTAAAGCTGACAGTTTTTATATTTGAATTTGAATTTTTTGAACCCGTGCATTCATTTACCTTCTAACTACGCGTGTCAAAAAATACTCAATGAAGCGTCCAGAGTTTCATAGTTGTACAATAGAATGGATACGTTCTAAGGCACAGATTGAAAAGTATTGACAATTATGATAGTGTGTCAACCCAACGGAAACCATCCTTTCAAACTAATGGCATCCAACGAACTCAACGCAATACAAACGAACAAAACACCACCTCACTGAACCAACCCAATACCACCTAACCAACACACTTCAATGATTTGAACTAAAAAACAAGCCGTCGCCTCCACACAAAAAATGCATTTCTACAACCATAGAACTTCTAGAGCCGTAGCATAAAGAAATAGCCACATTATCGTAGCCTAGAGTAATAGCCATATTGCGGCAACGTACAGAAATAGACGCATTCCCGTTGCATTGAGAAATATCCACATTACCATTGCATAAAGAGTACATAACGATATAGAGTATATACTCTATTTACTCCGTTGCATAGAGAAATAGCCATATTACCGTTGCATAGCCATATTATTGTTATATAGAGAGTATATAACGGTAGTGAGTATATATTCCATCTATACCGTTGCATAGACAAATAGACGTATTGCCGTAGCGTAGAGGAAAAGCGTATTGCCGTAGCGTAGAGGAGAAGCAGTTTTGCCGTAGCGTACAGGAAAAGCCGCTTTGCCGTAGCGTACAGGAAAACCGTTTTGCCGTAGCGTACAGAAAAAGCCGTTTTGCCGTAGCGTACAGGAAAAGCCGTTTTGCCGTAGCGTACAGAAAAATCCGTTTTGGCGTAACGTACAGGAAAAGCCGCTTTGCCGTAGCGTAGGGGAAACCGTATTGCCGTAGCGTAGAGGAAAAACGTATTGCCGTAGCGTAGAGGAGAAGCCGCTTTGCCGTAGCGTACAGGAAAAGCCGCTTTGCCGTACCGTACAGGAAAGCCGTTTTGACGTAGCGTACAGAAAAAGCCGTTTTGCCGTAGCGTACAGAAAAAAGCCGCTTTGCCGTAGCGTAAGGAAAAGCCGCTTTTGCCGCTAGCTACAGCGAAAAGCCGTTTTGCCGTAGCGTAGGGGAAAGCGTATTGCCATAGCGTAGAGGAGAAGCAGTTTTGCCGTAGCGTAGCGGAGAAGCCGTGTTGCCGTAGCGTAGATGAAAAGCCGTACGGCGTAGCAGTGAGCGGCGCGTGGTGTGTCGCAGCGCCGCCCGGCCGTGCTCGGCGCCGTGTGGACTGCCCGCGTCGTGCCCGGTGAGTTGAGCGATGGGGCAGCCGTTCCCCCCGCCGCCGCTGGGGCCGCGCATGCTGCGCTGCCACCACCCGGCCGTGCCCGCCGTCGCGCCGCACCCCACGCACGAGCCCTGCTCGCTGCCCTTCCCGCGCTCCTCCTGCCTCCGCGTGCAGGACGTGCCCAAGGTGCAGGCCGGCTCGCCCTACCAAACGGGCCACGGACGATCTTCCCAACCTCTTCCTTCTCCTATCCTCCCCCTTACACACACTTACACCAACTATTGTAGCGTCGTGACGCGCTTCAAATCAGAAACAAACACGTGGAACTCGGCGGGCATCGCCGGATTTTGAATAAAGGGCGGAGTGATGACGTACGGGGAATTTCTGTGGACGTAGATTGGCCAAAGCGGCGGTTGAGAGAGGAGGCAATGGGGGCGGCGGGTAGCGTCAAAGGGCCTATATAAGACCAGGAGGACAACGCCCCAGTCTTCCTGTTCTCTTTTGGGCTGTCCTCTCCTGTCAGTCGTATTTTTATTACATCCTTTCTTCATTTATTTGCTTTTACAAAATACGTTTGTACTACATGTTCTTCGTAATCAGTTTTTTTTTTTATTTTATAAATTGATACTCGGTTTAGTTGAACCTAACAGTCATTTTACAATTCAGCTCGTGTTGTCTTTCTCAACGCCCAACGATGGACATCTCTAGTGCGCGCTGCAATCAGTTTATTTAATCCTTCTGCCTCTGTAGGTCCCGAGTTCCGAAGCGTGTGAACACCCGGGCCTGCACTAAGTGACGACTTCCTGCACAATCGTGCAAGAGCGATTGCTTGTGTTCTGGACCATGTAAGAGAAGGGAATCGAAGGCGAGGAATTAACTACAATGAACTTGTTGCGTGAAACGTAGTTACACATGTAATATTTACCGCTGATTGCTAGGAATTTCCTAAGGCTTCGATGACTGACAGTTAAAGGAAGTCGCTTTGATTGCGTCCCATCGTGACACGCTGAAGACCGGCCCGAGAAGAGTTGCCTAACAGTTGCAAATGTCACATTTGTATCTTTGTTATCCAGTCGACTCCGGTTCCGAAAATTTTAATATTTATTTGTCGTTAAAAATTATTATTTTCAATTTTTGCTTCGTATATTTTT